ACAGCGAATTCAAGGCCAGCCTGGGTTACATGAGACTCTCTGTCTCAATAAATAAATTAATATAATAAGAAGAAACATTTTAAAACTATAAAATATTTCACTTCTAACTTTTTAAAGAGTCGTTAACCTCAGAAATCCTGACATTATGTCATTTGAAAATATCTTAATCTCTTGAGGGCCATCTAAACTTAGCAAAGAGTAAAGCATAGGTCATTTTTCTACTACCAGTTGAAGCTTCCAGCACACTGGAGTTTCTTATTAACAAGTAATAAACTAATCCAGCAAAAAAGTTCTAAGCTACGTTTATTATTAAGGTTTAACAGGTTGAAACAAAATTGTTTAAATTGTGGGGTTTTTTTATTATTTTTATTTTATGTGTATGAGCGTATGGCCTGCATGTATGTGAGTGCACCTGTGTCGTGCAATGCTGTGGAGGTCAGAAGAGGGCATCGGATTCCCCTGGAACTGGAGTTAAGGACAGCTCGTAGCCACCATGTGGGTTCTGGGAATCGAACCCAGGTCCTCTGCAAGAGCAGTCAGTGCTCTTAACCGCTGAGCCATCTCTCCAGCCTTAAACTGTGGTTTTAAAAGAATAGTCTACAGCCGGGCATGGTGGCACACGCCTTTAGTCCCAGCACTTGGGAGGCAGAGGCAGGCAGATATCTGTGAGTTCAAGGCCAGCTTGGTCTACATAGCGAGTTCCAGGACAGCTGGGGCTACAGGGACACCCTGTCTTAAAAAGGCCAAAAAAAGAAAAATAAGAAAAAAGGAATAGTCTACAACAGAGATCTTTCCCATCCTAGTGGGTCTTTGACATTTAAAAATTATTGTTCTTAGCTGGGCATGGTGTGTACGCCTTTAATCCCAACACTCGGGAAGCAGACGCAGGTGGAGCTACAGGGAGACCCTGTCTCAAAAAGCCAAAAAAAAAAAAATTGTTCGTTCAAAATGTTTCATGTTTTTGCAGAATACCTATGTATGAGTTTTCCATTTTGAACATAAAAATTTTACCTTAAGTATAAGTCCAAACTTTAATGTTTCCAATTATGCCATACTTTGTACATTTAAACATTGATTATTTTTAATTTTTATGTGTCTAAGTGTTACGCCTACATGTAAGTGGACCACATGCATGCAATACCTGTGGAGGCCAGAAGAGGGCATCAGATCCCCTGGAACCGGAGTTACAGACAGTTGTTAGACACGATGTCGGTGTTGAGAACCGAAACTGGGTCCTCTGCAGGAGCAGCCAATGCTCTTAACTGCTGAGCCATGTCTCTAGCCCCTTAACTTTCTTAGTTAAGTAAGTGCTTTTAAGTTAGTCTCGAGTTTCTGGGCTTAACAAAATGAGGAATGATACAGGTCTTCTGTTCTTAGTCTAAAACCTGATAAAACCAAAACACGGAGACTATGTCACTATAATATTGTTTTTAAAAGTAAAAGTTTGAGGGGCTGGAGAGATAGCTTAGCAGTTAAGAACACTGGTGGCTGTTCTTGCAGAAGACCTGGGTTCGAATCCCAGAGCCCACATGGCAGCTAACAACTGTCTGTAACTCCAGTTCCAGGGGATAGGACAGCCTCTTCTGTCCTCCACCGGCATTGCACAACAGAAGTGCACTTACCTACATGCAGGCAATACACTCACACACATTAAAAAATAAATAAATAAATAAAATATTTTTTAAAAAAGTGAAAGTTTGGTCAGGCATGATGGTATATGCCTTTGATTCCAGCACTCAGAAGGCAGAGGCAGGTGAGTCTCTGTGAGTTTAAGGCCAACCTGGTCTACATAGCAAGGGCTACACAGTGAGACTATGCCTCAAAAATAAATAAGTAAAATTTCAAGTCAGATCTGGTGGCACATACCTGTAATATCTGTACTGGGGAAGCTGGGGTAGGAGGAGCTGTCTTTTGAAACCCTGTCTCAAAACACAAAAACAGGCAAACAGAAACTCTACTGAGAAGCACTTTTAAATATTTTATTATTTTTTATTTTATTTTATGTGTATGCATGTATTGCCTGCATGTAGGTAAGTGTACCCGTGTCATGCAATGCCCGCAGAAGACAGAAGAGGCCATCGGATCCCCGGGAACTGGAGTTACAGACAGTTGTTAGCTGCCATGTTGGGTGCTGAGATTCAAACCAGGGTCTTCTAAGCCATCTCTCCAGCCTCTGAGAAGCACTTTCATACCTTTTGTTGAGACTCTCAATCTGCTTAGGAGCCATATATATTTCTAAAATACTGACAGAAAAACACACTAAAGATACATTAAACTATCAAATGCAGTGTTATTTTTCTACAGGCTTAACTATCAAATTAACTAACATAGTTCAAATTCCCAAATTTGGGCTAGGGCTATAGCTCAGTATAAGAGCATTTGGCTAACATGCATGAGGCCCTAAGTTCAATTCCCAAAATGAGGGTTGGAGGGGAACACAGGGGAGGTAGTGATGGGGAACTCAGAGAAGTTGAGAAAACATAGTTTAAAAAAAAAAAAAATCTTCATTTCCCCCTAATAAGCAATACCACCATATTTGTAATCAGAATTACATCTTGGGACCAATGGCTCAGAGGAATTGAGTTCAGTTCTCAGAACCCAGGATGGATGGCTCACAACAGTTGACACTCCAGTTCCAGGGGGACTTGACATTTCCGGCCTCTGCAGGCACTGCACTCATGTGCACTCATACACACACACACACACACACACACACACACACACACACTCACACTCACACACACACACACACACAATTTTAGAAAATAATTAAAATTAATCACTTCTAAGTATTTCCTCCGGAATTTGAGAGATCAATATTTCAACCATGTCAGGGAGTGTTGAGGGTTCAGTGATTATATTAAAAATTTGGGGAATTGTTTGCACATAACTTGTTTTTTTCTAAACTAGATGAATGCATAGTATTCCATCTGTAAAATGAGATGCCTGAATAGAAAAATGATCTAACACTACAGAGTCTGCCAGTGCTGGTTCTTGTGACTAAGTGTTAAGATTTTTTTTTTTGGTCTTTTGAAACAGGGTCTCCCTGCAGCCCCAGCTGGTCTGGAACTCACTGTGTAGACCAGACTGGCCTTGAACTCACAGAGATCCACCTGCCTCTGCCTCCCAAGTGCTGGGACTACAGGCGTGCACCACCATACCTGGCCTAACTTTTCTTTTATAAATAAAATAAAAAGTAAAAATGTTATTACATGTTTTATAACTTTTAACCTAAGGATCTTAAAGATATTTTACATAAAGAAGCCAGCCATTTTATAGCTGAATAAAAATGGGGTACTAGCATCAGTACAAAATACGGTATAAAATCTGATTTTATATGAAGTCAGAATATAAAATCTCTGATTTAAGGTGAAATAACATTTTCAAACTTCAATTTTGTTAGCTTTATTTCAAATACAAACTTCAGTTTTCAAATGATGGTCACTTTGTCATTTTAATCCTTTTAATAATTTATATGTACAATAAAATTAATCTTGTTTTCTTTTCACATGACAAAAACATATCTTCTTACCATCATCTTATGTACATATCCTCTTTAAAGACCTTGAAAATATTCAGGACTGTACTACATTAATGATAAGGAGGGGAGAACATTCTCTGATACTTAAACTGTGTTCCTGTAAGTGCATATGTAAAGGAGAAAACTGTCCAAATAGAACTAGCCTGAGATAAATTTCTTCACTTTGGTAAATATTTTCATTTATATTTTAAGCAGAAAGCTTTAAGTGTCTTTAAATAGTGTAAAAAAATGACATTCCATAAGTCCTTTTCCTTGGTAGTTTGCAAAAAAAGAAATACTTTAAACCATTAATGCTGTTTATCCCTGGGTGGTGGTATTACACGCCGTTTTATTTTTGCATTTTGAAAAAAAAATTTTCCCTTGGTGATGACAAAATTAAATACTATATGGTCTGTAAAGTGTGAGACATCAACGCAAGTCCAATTCCATAACTGTGTTAAGTAGTTTTTCCTTGTGATGAGCTGCTGCTTTAACTGAATGATCTGACCAGGTGTCTAGGTTGGATGAAGACAAAACAGCTTTCTTTTCCAGGCCCTTCTTTCACTGAGGCTTTTGAGAAATCCAAGAAGTGAGTTTGAACTTTGCTGCAGTGAATCCTGCAGTAGTAAACTTTTTGGGTGGTCAGAGTAACACCTTTCATTACTATTAGCTGAATTGCAAAAGACCTGAGGATTTACCAATGTTTTCAGAGACGTTATTTCGGGACAATTCCATTTGGAAAGAAACGCAATTGTAAACCGTTTCTATTTCAAGCCCATAAAAAGCAGAACTAGGATGAAAGACAGAGCCTTGACCTTTCTATTTCAGACTTTCATCTGGGTAGCTAAGCCATCTGCTTCCCCCCTACCTCCCATCCCATCTACTTAATGGACTGAAAATACTGCACTTAATTGCAATTATATCAAAGCAGCCTGACTTTTCCACTTTAATTAATTGAGACCCTGTTTTTTCACCCGAAGGCTTGCTTGCTAGAATTCTGCAAGCATTTTACCCTTCCCTCCCATTCCTTCCCACCCCACCCAATCATGAGCTGTCAAACGTCTCTAAAGTCAGACACTAGGCTATCACCCATGCGAGCCATCTACAGAGGTCTTCACTTTCAGCCCTAAGCGCCTGATGGGAAACCTCGGGGTCTCAGGGCATCTGGATGCCCGGCGGTGCTATCGCCGCTGCGGTTATGCAGGAAGGCACCCCACACTCGGTGCATAAAGGAGTCAGCGTCCCCGCCGCCAGACAAGGAACCCAGCCCGGGAAAAGACAGACTAGGGTGGGAGGGCAGCTGGGGGAAGAAGGGCGTCCAAGACGCGGTGGAAGGACCTTCCCGGTAGGAGCAGGAGAGGGCGCGTGGAGTGGCGGGGAAGAGGGGGCGGGCGCCTGCCCGAGGGTCGCGGGAGCGCGGGGCCCGGATCGGCCCCAGGGTGGGGGTGAGGTGACCGGGCCGACCGAGCCGGTACTTAACTATTTGTAGAGCTGCTGCAGGCACAGGTCCAGGCTCTCGCCCTCCACCTCCTCGCGGGTGATGCGCTCCGACAGCGGCCGCGGGAGCGGGGGCAGCGGCGGCAGCGGCGGCTGCGGCAGCGGCACGGCCGAGTGCCCCGGGGCCGCCGCTTCCTCCTCCTCGCCCTCGGCCACCGCCGCCTCCGCCGCCGCCTCCTCTTCGGGCTCGGGGTCTGGCTCCCGCTCGCCTTCGCCGGCCGCCGCCACGGCCGCAGCGTCCTCCCCCGGCTCCTCCACCGCAGCCTCGGCCGCCTCGGCGGCAACCAGCTCAGCTTCGGGTTCGGGCTCGGATTCGGGTTCGGGCTCCGGCTCGCCGCCGCCGCACGGTCCGCGAAACTCGCCCAGGAAGAGCTCCAGGAAGCGTCGGTAAGTTTTCTCCTCGGGGATGCAGCCCGCCATCGTAGCTCATGCCCCGAGCTCCACCGGGAAGCGACTGGGGGGAGGCCGGGAAGAGGCAGGGGCTGCTCCGGAGCCTCGGCTCCCGCTGCGGTCGGGGGAACGGCCGCACCGGCGCCGGCGATCAGCACTGGGTTGCCTGGAGAGGGCTCCCGCAGGCGTGCGCGCCGCCGAGCGCGGACGTGCGCGGCCCGGGGGCGGGGGCGGAGCGCGCCGCCCCTCTCGGGTCTGGAGGGAAAGTTGGTGGCGGGCGCGCGCACGGGGTCCAGCGACGGCCCACCCTCTATCCCTACCGCGAGCTCAGCCCACACTGCCTAGAGACTGTCGCCATGGCAACCGGTTCTAATTAAGAATTCCAGGGTCCCTCCCGTCGAGTCTGCGGAGTCCTAAGGACTCTGAACTCCTGCACTCCAACTTCGAATTGTCTTTGCTGGGTGAGGACCCGAGTTTCGTGTTAAGAGTGAACTAAGGCATCTCTATCCGTTGGTTCCCACTTGGATAGTATTTACTCCAGTTTCATCATGTGTTTCTGCCTTGCTGTAGCGTATCTGTTGAAAAGCTATCGCACTGTGAACACCTTTTAGTGACAATAGTCGTAGAAATAGAGATGGGGGCACAAACACCGAAAAGTAGTAGGTTCCTTTCATTTGATTCTGTGAAATGACGTTATATGCTCATTTCTCAAAAGACGAATGTGAATTTTAAAATATAATTTTCTTGCTTTAAGATCTTAAACCTTCTAGCCGTAGCTTTGGAGTTGGATCCTGCATCTTCGTCTCCAAAGCCTTTAGACTCTTTTCCCTTAATTCTCTGTGAAAATTTAAGTGCATTGTGTTCATAGACTGCCTTATTTGTATAGCGCTCTGCAGTTTCCGAGTTCTTTTCATCTCTTTAATCCTTACCACAACCCCTTAAGGTAAAGGGCATTGCCATTATGATTCTATTTTAGAGATGAGGAAACCAAGCTTTAAAGACTGACTTTGCTCAAGGTCACAAACAGGCTGTGCAACAAGAATTCAATCCATGACTGAAATTCAGTAGATTTCACTCCTAAGTTTTCCATCACACTGAACTCCCCTCCTCAGTTTCTGTATAATGTACACCATACCTTATTCTATAATATGTATTCTTTCTATATTTTGTTTGCTCTTCTTCTCCATCCCTTCCTGTGTCTTTTTTCTTTTATAGACTGGAACTAAAATGACTTTAAATTATTCTACTTTTCAAAGCCGGGCATGGTGGTGCACGCCTTTAATCCTAGCACTCTAGAGGCAGAGGCAGGCGGATCCCTGTGAGTTCAAGGCCAGCCTGGTCTCCACAGTGAATCCAGGACAGCTGGGGCTACAGGGAGACCCTGTCTCAAAAAGACCAAAAAAAAAAAATTATTCTACTTTTCTTATCAAACTATGCACAAACCTGTTATTTTCAAGCCTCATGGTGGTGAGGGAGAAGTTGTGTTGCTATACAGCTGTATGGATAACTTCATTATTGCATAGTGCCATGACCATGGCCTCATGTAATTCAGCACCAACACAGTGATTTTTGTTTTCTCTACTTTAAAAAACATGTACTCACAAGTCACCCACCCCATCCTCCCATTTATTGTTTCTGGGTTTCAATTGGATTTAGGATCTGAAATACCGCTTCCAGTCAGTTAATGACAGAAGAGGGAGTATCCTCACCAACTGTTTCATATAATGCTGTATTCTAAATCCCTGACCTGACACTGTTATTTTAAGATTAAGTGGGTAGAGCTCACTAATGTACATTATGGCATCGTGTAAATAGATTTCCATGCTATCTCCTAAAGATTAAATAATATATGATTAAAAAGTATAGGTACTGGAGAGATGGCTCAGCAGTCAAGAGCACTGGCTGCTCTTGCAGAGAACTTTGGTTTGATTCCCAGCACCCACATGGTGGCTGGCAACCATCTGTAACTCCAGTTCCAGGAGATTCAACGCCCTCTTCTGACTCCCTCGGGCATTGCATGACATGGGTGCACTTACCTACATGCTGGCATTATACTCATGCACATAAAATAAAAATAATAAAATATTTCTTAAAAGTATATAGTAAGTAATGCACTTGGAGTTTTCTATGTTTTTTCTAAGATAAATGGAAAGACCCAATTAGTCTGTTTCCAGACATGCTAAATGTGTTTGTATATTTGGCTTAAAAAATCACTAGTGTAAAGCAACTTCCATATAGGATGCCAAGTCTTCAAATTCATTTGTCTTTGTTTTCCACCCACCTGTTCATTGCCATTTCAGAATAACTAGAAAAGACTGACAAGACTTTTTAGGCTGTAGCAAACCTAAATATTCCATTTTACATTCCAACAAACTGTTAATCTCCCCAATTTTGACATGATGATATTTCGTTCAGGAGTGCGTAGTCGTCAGCTGTAACAATTCATATCAAGCTACACCTTCCTACTTCATAATGTAGTTGCCTCCCTCATTTAGATGACATTTGTGACATTAATTTATGACTCAACCCACATATCAAAGAGAAGTGATGTATGTTGGTAAAACATTGCTTCAAAAAGAAAAACCCCACACCTCTGTTACTAGAAATGAGAGGCATCTTTGCTTATATTAATAAAGATACGCCTTTACAAAGATCAATACGGATCCTAGCGCATCCTTTTAGCAAAGTAGCTTTGCCAGAAGGCTGCTGACAGAAGCAGCAGGATCTCATAGCAGCTGTGTAGGACGGTTTTGCCACTGTCAAGGCTTTTAGCCATTATTTCGCATTACTTTGCTTTCCTTTTCAGTTCCTCTCTTCTTATACCTTTCTGGTCCTTTCTATTTCTTTAAAATAAAATGAAAAATTAATGAGTCCTGACATTCTTCTACTTTCAAAGTTGCCTGATTTTCCATATTCAATCAATTCTCCTTGGACCAGGTGATATTCTTTCCCAGCTCTTAACACAGTTTGCACTGTATTTGTATCTTTGCTTCTTTTCTAGGAAATAAAGACTATATTTTACTGCCGTTGTAATTTAAAAGAAATATATCTATTAACACCTAATAAGATTTTAATATTTGGTGAAATATGTAATGAATGTTGTTTATTAAAAATCAAGTTATGAAAAAGCATATTGTATATGCAGTTTCTGTACTCACACTGACAGTATTTACTGACAGCTGCCTTTCAGATATCATTTGCCCAATGGGAGGCACTGACAAAAAATGAGATGAGGGTCTGGAGATGATTCAGTTATTAGGGGCACTGGCTGCTCTTACAGAGGACCTGGGTTCAGTACTTACCTACATGGATAACTGTCCTTAACTCCAGTTCCAGAGAATCTGACGCGCTCTTCTGGCCTCTGTGGGCATTGCATACATGGGTGCACTTACATACATAAAGGCAAAACACTCAAACACATAAAATACAAATAGAGTTGTTACATTTCTGACTAAAATAGCCCGGTAAGATCTTAAATAATTAGAAGGTGGAAAAAAGTCACACTATTTCCTCCTTCTCCCTTGTCTCCGTTCTGAGCCTGCTGTATCTCCTTTGTAGCTTTGTTCCCTTTCAATACCCATTGGCCAGTGACCTAAGCTAAGCCCCTGAGCTCTGGAAACACCTGCCTCCATTTGTCCTTTAGCCTAAGGATGGTAGCCGCTTCCAGATTCCTAATCTTTTAGAAATTAGGGAAATCTTTTAGAATTTTTTTCATCAGTGTATAAACAATTTTCTGTTTTTTCAACCAAATTGATGATATAACTGCAATATCTTAGACTATAAAGTGGATTACATAGAACAGAATTAAAAGTGTATTAAAATAAAAAAGCAACTTTAGGTCTTGAAGGTTTTACTGAAGCAGGGTTTACTTGAATCAAAGTTAATAGTAAATTACTTCATAAAATTATTAAAACAGATTATCAGGAATTCAGAGGGAAGGAGGGAAGGGTGAAATATGTGGAGCACAGGGAAATATTTTTTAAAAATTCTGTAATGGTGGATACAGGTCAGTATTCCATATAATGTGCATGAGTGAACACTAAACTATGGATTGCAATGAATAATAATGTACCAGCATTGACTCATCAGTTATAACCAATGTATCATAGTAACACAAGATATTAATAATAGGAAAAGTGGGAGGATGGGGAAGAGGTTAAGACTGTCCTTGCCCAACTTTTCTGCAAAATTAAACATGCTCTTTAAAAAAAAAAAAAACACACTCTTATTAGAAAGGCTAGAGAGACAGCTCAGTGGTTAAGAGCATGTACTGCTATTCCAAGGATCTGAGTTCAATTCCTGGCATCATGTCAGGTGGCTCACACCACCAGTAACTCCAGCTCCTGGGGGAATCTGACACCTCTGACTTCTGCAAGCACCTGCATCCACATTCACATATCCACACACAGACACATAATTGAAAATAAAAACAAATAAAACTTCATTAAGGCTGAGCATTGTGGCACACACCTGACAGATCTCTGAGTTCAAGTCCAGCCTGGTCTACATAGCAAGTTTCAAGTCAGTCAGGGCTACATAGTGAGACTCTGTCTCAGGAAAAAAAGTTTTAAAAAAATACATCATTAATATGAAACAGTATTTAATATCTGACTAATTAATGCATGTACCTAAAAACCTATAATTTCTTCTCATCACCAGTTGATACTCTCAGGGAAATCTAGACTATTCTGTGTTTTCTAAAATATGTCTATCTTACCTGTTTATGGGAGAAAAATAGAAATATCATTGTAAAAAAAAAAAAACCCTCAATGGTCATATTCCTTTTTTTTTTTTTTTTTTTTTTTTTTTTTTTTTTTTTTTTTTGGGGAAAAGTTCATCAGAAGATTCCTCCTGCCTAGAGACCATAAGGTTTCTTAGAGCTAGAGCTGGTGGAATCATGTGATTTCCCCCATCTCTTTTTAGGTGTTTTTTTTTTTTCTTCAATGTGCACGTGTGTGGTATACACATGTGTATTCATGTTCGCATGGGTGTGGGCACACGTGTGTGCATGTAGAGGCCAGAGATTGTTGTTGGGTATCCTCTGTCGCACTCCACATTATACACTGATGCATCTTCTGACTCTGTGGGCACTGCATGACACAGGTGCACTTACACACATGCAGACAATACACTCATACACATAAAATGTGGCTGGGCGTGGTGACACACATCTTTAGTCCCAGCACTGAGGAGGCAGAGGCAG